TATAAAAGAGCGTTTTAACCCGAAGAATCCTCGTTCAATGATGTTGAGGACGCACTCACAAACGTCAGGCTGGTCTCTTACTGAGCAGGATCCGTACAACAACATTATTCGTACAACAATTGAAGCGATGGCGTCTGTCTTTGGTGGTACTCAGTCTCTCCACACGAACTCTTTTGACGAAGCTCTTGGTCTTCCAACTCCTTTCTCAGCTCGTATTGCTCGTAACACTCAAATTGTAATCCAGGAAGAATCAGGAATTTGCAAGGTGTGCAATTTCGTATCTTAATTTGCTACGTTTTGTTGTTCTCAGTAAATTTTCATACTCTTGGCAAGAAGGAGTGACTTTTTACTTTAATTGGGGTAATTGTGTTTTTTTCAGAGATCATGATTTCTTAATCTTGTATCAGACGTCACGATGTTTTTTAGGTGGCCGATCCATGGGCTGGATCATATATGATGGAATCCTTGACTGACGAAATATATCAGAAAGCTAAAAGCGTAAACAATTTAAAGAGAAATTATCTTTTTCAAATTATCGCTTTTGGGGTTATTGGTAAAAGTGTCTTTACACTCATTTATAATTCTCATAAATGATTTTAGGTCATTGATGAAGTTGATTCATTGGGCGGTATGGCGAAAGCTGTTGAGAGTGGAATGCCTAAGTTACGTATTGAAGAGGCTGCTGCGAAAAAGCAAGCTCGCATTGATGCTGGTAAAGAAGTTATCGTTGGTGTCAACAAATACAGACTACCCAAGGTTTGTAAGTTAGCAGATCATTCGAGTTCTACTAAAAGTGATGAGGGATTGTTTTTAGCTTTTTGTAATTTCCTTCTTTAGGAAGAAAAGATTGATGTTTTGCAAATCGATAATGCGAAAGTGCGAGAAAGCCAAATTGAGAAGTTAACAAAGATAAAGGCAACTCGTGACCAGAAGAGGGCACAGGCTGCATTGAAACGTGTTACCGAGTATGCTGCTAGCAATGGAAATCTTATGGAAGCTGCGATTGAAGCCGCAGCAGCGCGTTGCACTGTTGGTGAAATCAGTGATGCTATGGAGAAAGTATTTTCTAGGTTGGTGTTAGATCCCATGAAGTTTTATCAGGAATGACGAGTGTTGGTATGTATGCTGTACGAGTAGTACGCGGAGTTCTTTCTAGATATTCAGCAACTATTCGGATGGTTAGTGGGGCTTACAAATCGGCGTTTGGTGACACCACAGAAGTCCAGCAAGTTATTGATCGAGTAACTAAATTCTAGTTTTTTTGTTGTGTTATTTCAAGTCAGTCTTGATCGGAGTATTATTTTTTTTTTTGATTTGAGGTAAAAAAATTCGCTGAAAAAGAAGGTCGTCAACCTCGAATCATGATAGCTAAAATGGGTCAAGATGGACATGATCGTGGATCTAAAGTCGTTTCAACTGGATTTGCTGATTTTGGTAAATGCCTTGCTCTCTTTATCGCAGTTAAATTTACTTCTCTCCAGTACCTAACACAGTGCATGACAATTTTTTAAGGGTTTGATGTTGATGTTGGACCATTATTCCAAACACCAGAAGAAGCTGCACAACAAGCTGTCGATGCTGATGTCCACATTGTCGGAGCAAGCTCACTTGCTGCTGGTCATTTAACCCTTGTCCCTGCTTTAATTAAACACTTGGAGAAACTTGGCAGGCCGTAAGTAATAAAGATTAAAACGTGTAAATT